AATAGAAAAATAAAGTCGACCATCCACAAGATACGAAAAAATCTGTCACGACAATAAAGGAAATTCGCATCGAAAGAGCACTTGTTTTGCATTTACACTATGAAATCGCAACCATTTACATATAGGAGGGCATAGACAACCTACAAGAGGCGGAATAACAATCGACTGCAAGGACGTTGCTTTCTTAATGCCATGAGATACAGTTCTTTGCAACAGATTGAAAGGGAATATAAAAGAACTAACGGTAAAGAATTTACTCGCTTTGTGAAAAAACAAACACCGATCATTGAGCCAAATATGGACATACTTTTGTCCCTCTTTATTAAATTATTATCGGTTCAACGACATGCTGAGCAATTACGGATGATTTGTACACGACGAGGACTTTGGGTTTCCGGTGAGGTCGTAGCACACCGGAAACGTCAGAAAACCAAACGTCTTCGTAGCTGATGACCTGCTTTTTCAACTTTCAATGTAGAAAATTAGCAAATTAGAGAAAAACAACATGACGAAAACTTTCGAATCTGACACGCGACGAGGGCTAAATCCAACGCTAAAAAAATGATAACGATAACAATGGGATTGTGTTACGCTATCGCTTATTTACTGTTTGGGACTGATAACCGACTGGGGTTCCCAGAAGGATATCAGTTACCTACAATTGCGACTGCCAGTTCTAGGGAAATTGGAATTATTTAAATTTTCTTTAATTTTAAGGCTGAAATATTGTTTTTCCCAAGCAAAAAATTAAGTGTTTTTGTTTTTTCCTATATTTTTAATATACCAGGTGAATAAAAAGTATGGAACAAAACGTTTTTTGCTTAAACTACCCCTATTGATTTTTGGAAAACTAATTGATGAATGATAAAGTACTATAAAATTTTTTAATTTTTTTAAATGGCAACCCATTATAAAACGATTTTTCTCGTAAAGGCTATGATCTAAGAATTACAACTATCTACTTTATATTTAATTAAAAAAAAAAACACATTAATTTTGTTAGAAAAAATCGCATAAAAACAACAAAATTTTGTTCTCAAAATACGATAATATTTTTTGTATTATTTTAATTTACACTTGAATGCAAAAAAAACGCAAATTGATTTTTTTATAATAAACGTTAATAAATGCCAGGTTTTTGACGTGTTTTTGTCACATTACCAAATTTCATAATTATCAAACATCTTCCAAACTTCTATCAAGTTTTTCCACTTCGTTTTTAACACTGACTATGACACTATACTAGCAAGACCACCAAATACGACATTCCTTTTCAGAGTTTTCAAACCTTTTTGAAAACAACAATTTTCACAAAAATTTGACAATTTGTTTTTGACAATTTGCGTTTTTTTTGCACTCTAGTATATATTATTACTTTCTGGGAATAAATAATAAAAAAAAACCGTTTGGTTCTACTACAAGTAAACTTAGCAATTGTTACAAAGTAATTTGTCAAAGTAATCTCAAAATGTCAAGATAAGGCTACTTTATGTAAAACGGCAACATAAGAGGTAGGCTTAAATGCACCATAGAAACAGTATAAGATATTAGTGTTGGAAAAAAGTTTTAAGAAATCATTTTTTTGGCTTTAATCTTTTGAAAATTCCGGCCTGTTTTCAGAGCCAACATCTCAGATCTCATTAATTCCGTCAAATTTCCAGGTCGGCACTTCATCTCGTCTGGTATGTGTCCGTCTGCGTGCCCGTTTTGGCGAACTACTTTCGTTCCAAACTGCACCTGTGCTCATTATTCACATATTTGAGTGAACGGCTTTACCCCTACGTTTTCCGTTTCAATAATTAATACCTTCATGTACGCAATCATCTCACAAAATCGTGTCGTTCACAAATCATCGACGGTGTTTTCTGTTGGCGGAATAATAGCTCCTTGTTCCATTGTTCTCTACCAAACATGACACCCGCGTGCTCTCAATATCAATATCGATAACAAAATTTTATTTATTTTTGGGAAAAGCCGCGAGAAACGTATCGAACGACTCTTCTCACAAGATTGCGTCACAAAGAGGCATTTTTCCCGTCGTCGCGGAGAACGACTTTTCTTAAAGTATTGCGATCGTGTCGGACTCAAGAGTTTAATTGAGCAGAAATTGATGGATGGCCGATGTTTCGCACAGCTCGGCGTGGATTCTCATCGGTAATTGCTTTCTATAATAACTATCATTGCCCGAAAAGGAAAAAAACGACAACTTTTCATAAGCCACAAGTGAAAACAACACATGAACGGATCAACGACGTCCAAAAGTCTGCGATAATTATTTATTATTTTTACACAACCTTCACCTTTAACTCATATTAAAATGATAACAAAAGGCGAACAAATGTGGGGTTTTTGAACTTTTTTGATCGTTATTGCAAAGCATGCCAACATACTTATTGTATGTAGATTTTTTTCAAGTTGGTGAGGTTTCGTTTTTCGGTTAGATAAACATGCGGCCTCGGTGATACAATTTAGTTCCTGATTATTATTGCGCTCATTGTTTTCCGAATTAGATTAGTTTTTATGCATCTCACGATGTTGGGCAACTTTTCGTTTCCGGACTGTTGTTTCAAGTTTCGATTTTAAAATTTTTTAATGTTGTAATTAATAAAGCATCAGTTGTTTGTTTTCTTCGTCTTGACCTTGAGATAACAGCGTCCACACACTTATATCAAAAATTTATCCTAATCAAGAGCAATTATTCAGCGAAATTATGGTGCAGCTGTTTATAATAATTTCCTTTGACCGTTCCGCTTCTAAACAATTAAAATCTCAATAGACATAAGAGGTCAGTTTAGTTTATGACCACATTAGACACAATTACCAACACTTGTCTAAATTTTAATTGGATTTATGACCAAACAAATAAATCACTTCTTTCACAATTTTTCTTCCAAAGAAGTGATTCTTCTTCTGATGGTGAGTGGTCACCACAAGACTCGATACTTCATCGACCTCATAAACCCAGTATTGAATGAAACCGACGACCCACTCACCTCCCAAGACACAAAACATCGTCCGAGATCAAAAAAAAATTGTCAAGCGAGACGATTGGTACGGTATCTTGTCACGTGACCCTTTCAGGTGAATGAACGCATTTAGACGATTTTTTCAGGAAGTACCAAATCTGGCACACCATAACCTATCTCGAAATCCGGACCCGTAAAGGGTTAAAGTCCGGATTGCTCCGGGACTGTGTTGACATTTCAAATGCCCATTGTACAACACTGTTTGAACAACGGTAAATCCTTCGGTTTTAATAAAGTGTTAATGTTCGTGGAACTGTGAACCGAGAGCGCGATTCGAGGTCGACAAACGACGAGATAACAACGACCGACTTCTACGTTAAAATGGCGGACAAAGACACCCCCAAAACGCAAATTTGTAAAGTTTGACACTTAAAATTGTAAAAAAAAATCCCCAGGCTCGTCCTTCGCGCTTGTTCCACGTCCAATTTCCGCCCGACTAATTCATTTGCAGACGGCAGCTGTCTTTGGGGTTGTTGACTCGTTTCCATACAAAATTCGTCCCGTTTCGTTGCAAAACGCGTTGTCTCCTCTCTCGGGACATAGAAGGTCGAGTCGCGGCAGCAACTCGAGATTGCAGAGAAAGTAGGCTAAGTGTTTATTTCTCAAAAACAAAGCGGTTCCAGTCGACTTTATGCTTTCGAAAAAATGATTTTTTCAAAACGCAAAATGCACTTATCGTGAAAGTGCGCCGCAAACCGCGAAATTTGATAAAGATAACGCGGTATGGAAAATCACCGATTTTTTCACATTATCGACGATTTTTCAAATCGGAGATAAAACGCGGAAAAAATAGAAAGCAAAATTCACCTCATCGGTGAACACTGAATTACGTAGCGCGCGCATTTATGAAATTATTCTAACCCAGATTTGAGTTTATATAATTATTACAAAAACAATGTAATGTAAACATAACCCACTCGAAACCGCAAATAATTGTACTCAACTCGCGACTCTAAATTTAATTTTGTTAAATAAGGGAGAATTAAATAAAAATGTTTCCAAACAAAAACATCCTGCTATAAAATCCAAAATGATCCATAAAATTCTACAAGAAGTCGACTGTTTATTCCGTGGCATTTCCGGCCGAATAATTCCAAAACGGTTGTTACGATAATCAAAAGAAATTTCACACAGCACGAGATTATTACTACTATTACCAATTTTAATATAAATAATGGTCAAATTTACATTTTTGTGTCATAACTAGCAAGCCATGACTTTCCAAATGACAGCAGCCTCCTACGACAAAACAAACAACGGCTCTACAGGGTGTTCAGCCCTCAAAATCCAGGTATAAAACTGTCAATCGGGACATTTTAATTGGTGGAATGACATTTCTTTGAAATCACCGACTAATTTACACCTATTGTCAGCAATACGAAGAATCCCACCGGATATAACTCCGGGAATTCGCTCGCACCGTAATTTACGTTCATTATTGTTCTTACGAACATTAGATGTAATGAGATTTCATTCGGCACATCAGGACTTCCACTTAGTTTTTTTCACTGGTATAAAAATCGCATTTTATGTACTCTAATTACGATCAAATTCCGATAATTGTGAGAATCTAATTTGAAGCATCCTGTGCGGAACAATAATAAATGAAGACGCTCCTTAATTAATTTTTGCATTAGTCCGAAATTTGATCAAATGGGAACAGGGGTGGCCGGGTTTTGCACAATTCGGCCAAATGGGAGTCAATGGAATTTTTTCCGATAAAAATTGTAAAGTGATAATCGCAAGAAATGATGTCATTTCTTGGTTTTGGACACTTTTGAGTGCTAAAAACAACATTAATTTCCGTTATCGGCGCAATGTCAATGACAAGTGTGATAAAATTGACACACGTCAACTTGATAAAAACTGCGACGACTAATTACTAGGGAATTCGGACCGATTTTAATTGACTGATAAGTGATAAGTGCTCGGATAAGTGTTATCATGAAATTAAATTGGGCCTCGCCATCTCACCTGCCAAGTGGTGTCTTATCCACCCCATAGTGGTCCAAAATCGGCTCCTTGTGCACAACGGCCGCCAGCTGTTCCTCCGACAGCTGCAAAAGGCCGTCACGTGAAGTACTAAATCCCAGCATTTCGCTACCAAGTCCTTAACACACACTAAATCGCGAAAATTTTAAACGTGGTTTTTTGACACGACGGAAAAAAACAAAAGTCAACTCCTCACTACCTGAGGATACTCGATCCGTGACGGGAAAATAACAATAGGGCGACTTGATCAATTCGAATTAACCGAAAAAAGCGTTTACATGATAACTGTTTGGGGCCACATAACGCGGGGGACACTTATCATGCAACATGAACACACTCAAGGTAACAAAACTTGTATACACTTGCTATGTCCTCATCAAACTGAACCGGAGAACGATTCAACCAAACAACTTCAACGGCGAGTCAAGACGGGTAGCGGAAGTGGAACTTGGAGGCCTGGCGCCATCTTGTAACACTTACGTCAAAATTATAGGAAACTGTAATCGTACACACTTTTGCCACACGAAAATTAATTAAAAATCACGCATTACATAAATATAGACTTTATTTTTGCATTTTATTATCTATTAAATACACAACTAAATAAATATCACTCATATACATGGCCAAAGCCCCCCACGTATTACTTCTTCGGCCGCTCGATTTTGGAGGCCCCCATGCCAATTCCGGCAATTAGGGCCACAACGGTGAACCCTTGGGCCACGATTCGGGTCCGCATCATGTACTGCGACATCTTCCTGTTCCCGGTCCTGAAACTCCACAACCCGTAACATAGAGCGCAAGTCGTGGCCAAACAACCTGAAATTAATTTTTCACTGTTATTCCTGCACACCGGGGGCTGTTTCACCTATTGGTATCATTGGGTTTTCCTTAATTTTGCGAATTAATTTCTCCTTGCGGGTCTCCTCGCCGCCCCGAATGTCTTTCTGGAGCTGGATCCAGTCGAACTCGATTTCCTCACCTTCGAAGGAGTGTTGGGCCATTATCACTGTTTTGGGGACCTGAAATATTTGATTTGAGTTTGATTAGTTTTTTGTGGGGTTATGTGACATAACCTTGACGTCAAGTCCCATTAATCCGAATTGTTATTTGTCCGAAAAATATTTGAAATATACTGCTCCACAAGTTAAGCAAGTCGCATTATTTTTACAACAAACAAATTTTATTATTCTTCTAAGCATGAGTAAAAAGATATATGCCTTTATATCACTTTTAATTAATTATTAATTTTATTAATTATTGCACACTTCCCTAACTTTTGTGGAGCAGTTTATTTGCAAAGCAAACACGGGAGGTAATAAATTTCAGTGGTAAAAATAAACAGTTAAAAAATGTGTAACAAATATGTATTTTCTTGGAATGTTACAAATTTAGCTCATATAATTATACCAATACACAAACAATTATAATCTAAAACGTTGGCATATTTAAATCTTAGTATAAAACATTTTGTGCATTTAAAAGAATCCAGAATAATGACAACTGACTAGAATTACAATAATCACAACTTTTCGTATTTCAGATTCATAAAAAGATTAATCTTACGTGGTAACTAGTAAACGAAACACTTATTAAACTCGTCAATAAATTACATAAATAAAAACAGTTTTTATCCATAAAATGACTAAAGAAACCCATACAACTAATCAGATTCTAAACAAATAAATATTATTTACATTAGAAATGCGACGAAAATGTACAAATTATTTGGTAAGTAAGTGTGAACAATACACCAGCTATCAGCAAACTCAATACTGGCTCTAAACGGCGCAAAGGAACAACTAACAAACCCTCCTCCTGTCCTCAAGCACACAATTAAGTAACTACTCAATCCCGAAAGTATTCGTTTCCTCAACAGCCAACAACAACTTCTCGTATAAAACCTCCGACGTCGGATACGGGGGCAAATCTAACCTATTGAAACACGTGTGGGCCCTTGGAAGACTATTTGGCTTGCCCCACTTCTCGATGCAGAACTTGCGGGGGCCAATAGACCCCCTCAAAGCCGAGAAACCCTCAAACGGGATGCTCGAGGTCCCCGTCACGAACTGGAGCAGCCTCAATCGTTGCTCGTTGCTAAACCTAAAAAAAGCAATTAACTCAACAATAACAACAATGAGTGGTACCCACCTCTCAATCGCCTGCCAGAACCACACCACCACCGGATGCTGGTCGTGGTACCCCCCTCGGTACTCCGTGTTCTGTCTCCAGTCCGCCAAGTCGATTTCGGCGGTACCCGCGATCACTAACTCTAATTCGCGAGCGTCGAACACGCTCACCAGTCTTGGATCGACGACTTCATAGAAGCCTCTAACTAGGGATTCGGTTTGTTCAGAGACGCCTCGCTCCAACCTCCAACGCACTATCCTCTCCAAGTACTCCTAAAATACAAAAATTGAGAAATTGAAACAAACATTCTAGGTTGCACCGCACTTTTTTATTTTTTTCTGTTACTGGAACGTTACGGCCGCCCGGTTTTAGTTCGCGCTCCAAAACCTGGCCGAAAACCTCCTCCGTGACGGCAAAAGTCAGCTCAAGTTCCCCCTGCATGGAGACGTCGTGCTCTCGGATCCACTGGAGGGACTGATGGAACTCAAAATCGAGACTTTCAAGGTCGGACAAGGCCACGGGGAGGCGCAACAACGCCTTGTAGAAAGGACGCGTGAAAAATGCGTCCAGGAGGTACTGATGGACGAGGGCCAAACCGAGCACTCTACCACTAAACCTAAACCTGAAATCAACACAAAAATATTAGTTTTACAATAAAAATTGAAAATAATACCTAACAGTTAATGTTTGTACACATACACAAAATGCATACCAAATAAAAGCAAATTACGCCGACGTTGTCCTTCCGGAGTCAAAACACAACGTTTTTAGCCAGATTTCGTGTAAAATGCGTTTGTTTATTGAATTTTTGAAGAAATGTCAAACTTTTTGACATCAAATTTCAATGATGCCAACCTTTAAAAAAAAACTTTTGACATTCCACAGACGTAAATAAACACTTTAGATTGCAATATAGTAATGGAAAAAACTGAGGTAATGTCCAACTCTTTGCAAAAACTCTTGTTTTTCATTTCCATGCTTAGAAAAATTCTTACACAATTCAAATAAACATTTCCATTAGCTGTTAATTTTATAAATTATAAATTATTCTGACAATCTACTTATTTTAAGTCTATGACAAATGTCACTTATGTCAATGATTCTTGTCTGAGGTTACAACTAAATTGGGTCGCCCAAAAATCTCTCAAGTTAGTGAACTTACCAGTCATGGTAATTGTCGACGAACGCCGACATGGGGGAGATCTGCACTGTGTAAGTATCATTGGCTGAATACTCGAAAAGTCCATAATAGGGATTAAAGAGTTCCCTTGAGAGTAAGAAGAAGAATTCCCGACTGGGGCCCCCATAATCCAATCCCTCTTCATTATCCCAAACCACGCACAACTTCCCCTTTTGCAACTCCTTCTTATTTGCCGACATAATCCTTCTGAAAGCGTCTTCGAGCAGATGCTCGCGCCGGATGTGCAATTTGAATTTGCCAGGTCCTTGTCCGTAGCCTTTACTCTCCAACTTCCGGTAGAAATTCCTCAATTTGGCCTCAAAGTCGCGTTTGTGGGGGGCAGGAACGCGGTGGCGACTCAAGCCGGGCGAGGCGATAGGCGAGGGCTGCGGTGAGCCTCGCGGACTGCGTGTTGTACTACGCGAGTCCACCGCAGGGACATATGACATAATCTCCTGCTCGAAAAGGCTGCAAGTAAAAAATAAATTTTTCGTTTAGTCTGCAGTCCGGCGAAAATAACGACCTACGCCAACGCGAATAATACGTTGCGCGCTTGATTAAACGTTAGGGAGGTTGTTAAAAATCGGGCTCGGAATGATGATACCATTTTAATTATAGTGGTGGTCAAGGTCAGAGTATGGATCACACAAGACTCTTGATTTGGTGCACACATGTGCGAGGAGGAAAATTTCGACATGGTTTTATTTATTTTTCTGTATTTATAGACGTTATGCAACGGGCGTTTGTGCTTTTCGTCATGAAATCATATCCTGGGTTTGTTAGTAAACAAATACAAAAAACGAAATTAACTCAACGCGTTTTATCTTGTAGACATTGTGATAAAACGAATCGATTGTGTGATTCGGTTTTTGACTCATAGCAACGAAATTATAGCGGCAAGGCTTGTAGGAAGTCCCCTCGACATGGGGTGCTGACACGCGAGGTTTTTCAACTCGGAACCGTTACAAAATTTTCACGAAAATGCGAAACGAAATGTAGGACAAACAAAGCTATAAGAAGGCAATTCGGCGAGTTATGACACATAAAAATCAAATTTAATAAAGCTATTACAGTTGTTGATACATTTTATGCTTTTTCTGACTGCGTGCATAAATTTTTTCGCATAAAAAATGTATTTCCCGAGGTTTGCAAGCCTTTATTATGCAAGGCCATACATAATGCTTGTTAAAATAAAGAATAATATAATTTGACATAGCCCAAAAAGGACACAATTTCTATTTTATTATCTCAACTTTGACAATTCAATGACCTTCACTTGTTTTTAGCTCAAATACCCCATGCTAGATCCAACTATCAATTTTTATTTTAAGACACTGCTAATACCATAAGCAAACATAATCAATTTTTTGTAAGTATTCTCTTTATTTTATTGTTCTCAAATGTCAACATGACAGCAGCACCCTTGATTTCTTCGGCACAGGGTTTGTATACTTTTGCGCTTCTTTTATTTTTCATTGCCAAGTGAGGACACATTTTTTTTGTAATCCTCTATTTTTCAGACTTCAAACCCCTACTCTTATAAAACTCTTATAAAAAATTTTATTAAATAAAAAAATATATTCCCTGTAAGTTATACAAAACTTTAAACAACACATTTGACAATTCTTTATTTTGGACAGATGAATGACAGATTTGACAGTGCATCAAAATTCTTAAATTCTGACATAAAATTGGTCTCAACATACTTGATATTTTTCTGCTTTAATTTTTGAGTAGAAAAAATCAAGTGACGCAAAAATAATTCAATATATTTTTAACGACAACAAAACACAAATTTCGACATAATCATTTAATAATAAAAGACAACAATTTATTTTTCGGCCTTATTACAACAAAATGTGCACACTTGATACTAATTTCTTCTCTCTAATTAATAAAACTGAGAATTTAAAGTCTAAACTCAAAGAAGCTAAATATTAAATTAATTTTAGTTTTTTCAGCAAATAATTCCAATATCAATGGAAATGTTTATATTTAATTATAAATGTAAATTAATTTGCATGAAGTTAATGACATTTTTAACAATTATGTGCCAATTACTCTTTTATATATTTTCAAAAATTCACATTGAATTAATTTTGGAAAAAAAGCTTTGTTTCATTATAATCACTTATTAATTTGTTTTACAAACTTTAATCCATTCAAGGTCAACAATTTAGCGAATTTTTACATTTTTTTTTATTAAGTACATGTTATAACAAGATTAGTGACAACACGAAGTCTGGTAATTAATAGTGAGTCACTGGGATTAGTTCATCTACTCTATTTGCAATAATTACCTCCCAAGTTCAAAAATGACACAATTTACCGAAAATATTTACAAAAACATTACTATCATCATGCTCTGTATATTTCCGTCCTTGGTGAATGAATTACTATACGAGTATAAATAAAATTAAGTGTACTAATTAAGAAAATGTATCATAATTAAAATAACTCTAATTGCAGGTAAGACTTTGAGAATTCCATTTATTTCAATTAAGTCGCGTATGTGGAGAAAAAAATCCCACAGGATGCTGGTCCAAAAATACTCCCAAACGGGATCACTGCTCGCAAACTCCACAAATACGAACGCAGCAGAAGACCCGCAAACGATAACTTATCAATTGGTCCAACGATCAAAACAAAACCAAATTTCCGTTAAAGTCGGTTAAAATAATCACCGAAAAAAAATAAACAATGAAAGTCGAAATTACGAAAAATGCAATTCCGCTCCGAAAAATCCGATCGAAAGTCTCAACGAAAGTGCAATCTTTAATTCATAAACGCATCAGGGTTAGAGTAATTGGGGCGCAAAAACACGCAATTTTTCACTTACAGACTGAATATGACTCCTATTGTCTTGGTCACGATCCCCATTTTATGTCCCAAAAGCCATTGAACCCGCACTGAAAAAAAATCACCCTAAAAACCAGAGATACGCTACATACTAACGCGGGAGTAACACCGACTCTAATAACTCGAAGGTGGACAGAAATGAACTACTCGGTGCTAGGTGGGGGCCCGCCGAGCTCCCTTTCCGAACCAAATCGGAAAAAATTGGAAGAAAAATCCCAAGCGGTTATCAATTTCCGTTTATGAAACATCCAGTATCTTGCTATCTTATCAGTGGGTCTAATTTAATTTTGCAATGAAACCATTTCCCCTAGAAGATGGTTTTTTGACTGGAAAATCGCTGAATTGGCCCCAAATTCCACCGCTCTTTGTTACCAAAACCCCACAATCCCTTATTACCGGCCGAACCCTTTCATAATCATAGGTTTTGGGGCCATAAACGTGAAATTTATCCGAAAATCGTCCAGCAAGGGTGTCATAAAGCCCAAACTTTCTCCTTTTTTCGTCGAAACGTCGCTCGTAAATCACAGGATATTATGGAAGAATGTTTTCTGGAAAAATGTCGATTTTGCATAAAATTCAGATGATTTCTCATGACGACATTTCGAAATATGGGTGGACGTGTGTCCGAGATGAAACAATCTAGGGGTCAACGATACGAAAAGGATTTGATTTAATGTGACAATTAAGACGATTATAAAGGTTTAAAGACGCGAGCTTTGTGAAGAAATGAGATGTCGTGACCTGGTTTTTGTGTGTGTGAAGCGTGCGCCACATGATTTACATAAATGCAGGAGGCTTGTAAATCATGATTCATGTCGATTATCAATTGATGTGTGTTTAGCGAACGCAAACTTCGGTCTATTTGAGCTGATACTATCGGTGTTTGGATTTCTAATGAATTGTTTCAACGAAGAAATTACTTGTTTAGACATCTTATCTTCTCATCGATTATCAACCCTTTGGAATTCCTAAAGCTGTTTTCACTTTTTTTGATTTGTTGTCCATTAAACCACGTTTTATGTGATAAGAAACACATTCAAAAAAATATAAAAAAAAACGACGGGTTATATTTTTTTGTATACGGAGTCTTTTTTGGACTTAATAATAAAATACCTAAAAGAATTGCAAATAAAACTGTATTTTAGGTACTTGGATTACTATCGATTAATTCTCGAAGCAACGATCTTTTTCTTACTACAAATCGATTATCGACTTAATTTTTTTAATTGCAGCTTCATTAAAACATAAATTAAACTAAAACCTCATAAAAAATTTGCGTTTTATTTTTACTAACAGTTTCTGAGTCGATTGTCTAATAAACTTTTTGAATAAATCGTCTTATTATTAAATAAAATAGTAAAAAACTGTTAAAAAATGGTCACCGAAGCCGTAATTGTTATCGATTATCAACTCAAAGTTAGAAAAAACTTTTTTCATTTCTACAATTTTTGTCAATTTTCGTCGATTACCAAAACATTTATGCAAAAAGTAATAAATAATTCAGATGAAACGAAAAATAAATAATTTCATAATTTTTCTAAAAAAAATATAATTAACCCATCAATAACAATTTACTCTGTTTTCCTTAACTTTTTCATGTTTATTGAGTAAAACAGCAGAAAACTGTTAAAAAATTATACCGGATGATATCGTAATTGTTATCAATTGTCAACTGATAATTAGAAAAAACTCTCATTTCTACAGTTTTGTCGATTTTCATCGATTCACAAAAAAATACTCAATTTTATAATTATGTAACTTTTCATAAAAAATGATCATTGACACATGAATAATTTTCTCCGTTTTCCTAAGTTTTTTTCATTTTTGTTGAGTAAAATAACAAAAAACTGTTAAAAAAATTTCACGAATGTCATAATTGTTATCGATTATCAATTCAAAGTTACAAAAAACTTTTTTCATTTCTACAATTTTTGTCAATTTTCGTCGATTAACAAAACATACAAAAAGTAATAAACGAAAAATAAAAATAAATAATTTTATGGTTTTCCTAAAAAAAAATTTAATTAACCCATCAATAATAATTTTCTCCGTTTTCCTTAACTTTTGCATGTTTATTGAGTAAAACAGCAAAAGACTTAAAAAATGATCTCAGATATCACAATTGTTCTCAATTATCACTTATAGTTAGAAAAAGCTCTCATTTCTACAATTTTTGTCGATTTTCGTCAATTAGTAAAACATTTATGCGAAAAGTAATAATTTATCTGATACGCAAAATAAATAATAAAGAACAAAAGATCGATTTATCAACACTAGACAGTTTTCCGGAAAAAGAACTTTTAATTGATTAAATTTTTAAATCAGTCACCCTTAATAAGTCAAACCTGTTAAAAAATGTTAGATTTTTTAATTTCTTGCTGGTTTTCTAATTATCATCTAATGTTATCAATTTGTTATCATAATAATGAAAAAAATAATTAAAAAAGCTATCTAGTCTCAAGTGGCTCATAATTTTTAAAGCTTAATTTTTGGCCATTTTTAATGGCATTTTTTGTCAAAAAGAAAAACTATTTTATGATAATTTAAGTGGAATTTAAAAAAAATTCGTCGATTTTAATTAAATCGTGTGAATTTTTCGTGAAGAAATTCTAAATTTGTGGCGGGAAAACCTCACACGTGCAGCAGGTGCATCCACTTATCGAGGCCATTCGATAATTCGTTCCCACATGTTACCAAAAATCCGCGAGATAAACCGATAATGATAGGGGTCCATTAAATAATAATAATAAATCGGCATAACAATCGCCTACCTTTTACTTTCAGGCAATGAAATTTAGAACGGCTGAAAAAACTAATTAGTTCGTTTAAAGAAATGGTGCATTAGTGGAACTAATATCCAGTAATAAAAATTATGATTAAGTCATAAACTCGTTAAAATATCAACTCCGAAAAATATAATAGACCGCTCCCGTCGCAAATAATAATTAAATCAGAGCGTGACAAAAGTTTTCGACTTGCAATTTTCATGTGCTAAATACTTCAAGGCGACGGAATATTTCACAAAATTGGAGAATCTTTTCAGCATCACTGTTGCGTTTCAGTAACTGAAAACTTGGGATCGGCTTACGCGACCTTAACATCTCACACGCGCAAAACTGAAAATTTTAATTAATTCGAGTAATGAGCGAGCAATTTTTCGATTCTTATTCTCACACAATGCATTCGTGTCTCGGCTTGAATGTCATTTACCCAATAATGTTTTTGTTTCCTTTAGCATTTAACCTCACCAGAAAACAATTTTTATTCATTTTAACTCATTGTATGCATAATTACGAGAGCACGCATGCTTTCGATTTCAACAACACACAAAACTCGAGAAGTCGATTCGATTTCAAGTCCAGGTAAAAATTTTACCGTTATGGCCCTTTCAATCAACATCCTCCCACCTGCATACCTGTATTTGCGCCCAATTTTTACAAATAAACCTTGAGTGGAATTTTTCCAAAAACGATGTGCTAATTGAGGCAAATAATGTGCGCCCACGCCGAAAAATCGCCATTTCGACACCGAAATCAAAGTGTAGCGAGGCCGGCGATTGTATTGAAATAATTTATTAAACAATCAAATTGAAATTATCGGAGGAAAAAAAAACGGTCGCTTGCTCAAGAAGCCGCACGTGATCCAATCAACTACATACGTCCGATGCCCGTATGTGCGTTTACAAACCCTAACATTTAACGTATTTATTTGGGAATTAGTGCATGAAGTGGCGGTTGAGTTGATTAGAAATGACGCAAGCGCGAATTAATTCACCCTCTTAAGACATCTGCCGATAATCAAGGACGACGCGATTGGACTCAACAGGTGGGAAATGTGAGGAAGAATGACCAAATATGACGATTTGTGGCCATTTAACAATGCAGGGAAAGCATCTGACCTCACAAAAATGACAGGTGTTTCGACAGAAGGATTAAGTTCGAAATTGTGTTCGGGGAAAAAAGACTTCCGTGAAAATAAAGAGGCTTTTCGCTGTTAGATAATCACGAAAATAGGAAAAAAGCGTACAGTAGTGAGCAAAATGAATGTCATAACTCAAGAAACGAACGACAAATAAGACATTATTCTCGTCGGTGACTGTACATTCAACTTCATCTTTGTATTTTTCCTTTCTAATATGAATTTATTTTGTCTTATTATCTTTCGTTATGTTTTGCTCTCTCTTTCGCACTAATTTAATTAAAAAAAAATCATGCCTTTCTTTAAGTATCATTATTTCATTTTAACTTTTGTAAATTTGTTTTTTCTTTGCTCTCTATTGTCTCTAGTGATTTTTTTTTATTTTTCTTATGATTAATTCTACCGTTCTCACAAATAAACATTTATAAAAACTGATTATTTCAATTTTTTTGTTTTTTAATATCATTTATTCACATTTATTGTTCTTCCTCGGTCATTTTTTGTTATTAGATTCAACAGTTTGTATTAGGTATGTATTTTTTAATGTTTTTGTAAACTAATTTTTTTATCTTTCTCTAATTATAATCTTTCATAAAGGGTGTTTATTTAAATTTGGCGTCATAGTTGGCGGTTTATATGAGTGTGTTGTGAACGGACCACAATATTTAATAAGTCCGGCAGGCTGTCAAATGTCAGATTAATAACTTTTAGTAGGATGGTTCGTTCACATTCAAACTTTCATGGACAGTTTTACCGCCAAATTTAAAAAAACACCCATTACATTTTTTTTTCTCAACTATTGCCTTTTTCTCATGTTAAATATATTTCGTGTTTTATAAATGAGTTTCTCTATTTTTTAATATTATTTATCTCACATTTACGGTCGACGATCATTCTTTCTTAATATACAGGATATGTCAAAACTCGAGCCCCAGAGAAAAATTTCTCGTAAGATAAAATATAAAAAACATGGAACAAATATTTAAAAAATTCTACCTGTCAAAAAATTTTGACATTTTTTATGTCTATTTAATATGATACTGATGCTCTTGTAAACAGGGTGTCTCAGAACTCGCGCCCCAGAGAAAAATTTCAAGTAAGAGAAGATACCAGGAACATGGGGAAAATGTTTAAAAAATTCTATCGATTCTAACAAAAAATCTTGACAATTATTTTTTCAGATTTGACATTTTTTATGTCTATTTAACAATACTGACGATCTTGAATAGATTTTTTTTATAATTATTTAATACAGGTACAAAACTTTTACCAACAAAAACCACAAATAACATTACAATTTAGGATACAGCTTCCTTGTTTCTTCTTCTAATAGCATGTAGCAAAAAAACTTGGAAAAATATTTTTCGAACGGAAATAAATAGTCAAAGTGCAAAATTTAAACTCTCATAATTTCGAAATTTTTATAGATAGAATTTATAGAACATTTTTTCCATGTTCCTAGTCTCTCACCTTACATTTTTCTCTGGGGAACGAGTTCTGACGCACTCTGTATTCACCAGTTTGTACTATAAATTTTCTCAATTTATGAGTTTTAACTTCTATTTTTATTATTTCATTGCATTTTTTCTTTTTTCAATTTTTTTCTTTATTTTTATTAACTTCCGACTACTTTTCTGTTTCAATCTCTTATATCAGAAACAATTAAATCCCAATCAAAATACAAAATAATTTATTCAAGCAACATTATAAAAATTATTCAGAATTCCACAAATCAAATAAAATAATTCACCGAAATAATAATAATAATTTTCAAAATATCCAAATTTACAAACAATTCAGTTACCACCACAAAGTAAATCTACAAAATTAAATTTCACTAAAGACATAATCACTGTAATTTTCCACGTTTTCCTGTCTATTTGGATGTCAACTTTTTTATTTTTCTTAAAATTTATTCTTATTATTTTTTTGTTCTTTTTTGTTACAATTTTTTCTTTCATGTTACAAATAAATCAAAAATAAACATTCAACAACCCGAAAACTTTGATCTAATTACAGATTACTTAGTTTCAACTAATTTTTTAATAACATTATTTTCTCTCTTTAATGTTTTCTATTTGAAACCTTAATCGGTTTTCTCCTATTGTTTTTTATGTCATTCATGGATTATTATTTTCCTTCTATCCTTCTTTATTTTATTAACCTAGTTTGCTTTATTTCTGTGACTTCTTTAATTTTTTTAAGTTATTTTTTTTACATTTTTTCCTTCTACTTTCATTACTTTTCATTTATCAATTTATTTATTAATACATTTGTTGATTTTTTAAATTAATTTCCGTTTATTTTTGTTACAATTTTCATTCATTCTCCAACAATCATAATCAAAAACCAATTTTTGCTTACCTTAGAAGTATTGTGAGATGAACATCATGGCTCAGTCTATCCAAAGCCGCCGTTCCATCAACCCGCACCGCATTCACCTTATCTCTCAGCGACAAGCTCGTCCCAATCGGTGGATGTCTCTCGCGTAAAATATCGAAAATATTTGGTTGTCTCAAAAAGGCCACGACTTTATCGTTGTAAGCCACCGGCACTTCGGGCACATTCGTCGACACGAAACTCGTTGTGGTCGTAGGTCTCGGCGGTGGGACCGGAACCTGGAACCAAAACCACTCATCAAAACCCAAAATTTCCCAAAAATAAATTAGGTTAGTCAAAATTTCGCATTTACCTGTCCGTCTTCCGACATTCGTCTCGAATACGAAACCGGTTCGGTCGGCACTCTCGGATCCATATAAGTAGTTTTTTTGTGCACGTGATCGATGAAAAATTGCTGGACGAGGGTTAGTAGTGTTAGTAATTCCCCGAAAACCTACTCATAATACCAACCTTTGCGTTTCTGTCTTTTTTCGTATCCCAACCTTCCGGTAAATCACTGGAAGTATCGGCAAACATGTTCACTAAGGCGACTAGTTCTTTATTATGTTGGTATTTGTCGAAAACGGCCGGATCGCGACGAATTTTCACGATCATGTGCTTAAGTGTAGGGTTTCTATTGTATAAAGATAAGGCATCCTACGAGAAAAATTAGAATCGAAGATCGGTGGTAGAAAAAATAACATACCTGATTCATGTGTAAAATCGTAAAAAAATCAGGCCGAGTCAAGAGACGACAACCTGGGGGCGCAGCCGAAAAGTCGATCACGTCCAAACGATTCGAACTTATCGTCCTTCTGATACTCTGGTATCTTCGATCGAGTTGGCGTCGGTGTTGTTCAGCGCCACCACTACCCAAAACGGAACAAGTGTTACCTCCAGGACGTGTCCAGGACGTTGTCCTCGTCGCATGGTCGATGTAAAACACACGCCCATGACTATCCATCCTCGCCTCCCATGCTAAACACACAAAAAAACGGTATTTCGAGGAGATCAACCCAAAAGTCGCAAGTTCGAACCCGACCACACCTATTTTTATTTATTTTTTTTAATATACAAATCGTGCTACTTACACGGAGGTAATGGCTCTTCGTGCTCTCCCGGAATCTCCGCCACGGTCAAAATCCGGTGACTCCTCTCCGGAATCGAGGGTAACCTTGTCGTGCTCAATCTTTGCAATGTCAATGGTATCCCTCCACTCGCCTCCGCCCTCACCAAATCGTGACTCCTCACTTCGGGGCTCCTCCTATCAACATTCCTCAATTCGGATAATGCGATTAGACTCAATCTCGGGTTGTCTTTGGCTGGTTTGGCCTCGCTCCACCCCTCTAAACTCTCCAATGGCCTTATATCCGCCTGTTTCACTTCAAGCCCCGCCGCATTCTCCGCCCCGTCCAATGACAACTCGTTCGATTTGAGCGTGGGCGGTCTTAATTCAGCGTTACGCGGTTTGCGTGACCGGTGAGTGGGCGTGGGCGGACACACAGGGAGTGTACCAGCCAATCCAGCAACACGATCGAGCGCTTTAGGGTGTGGCCTCGGTTTGTGGACGGGAGTGTCGGGTGTGGCTTCGGGGAGTTGGCGAGTGAGGGGTTTGTGTGGTTTCAAAGCCAACTCAGGATTGGTGGTATCGCCGTCGAGGGAACTACTACTTTGAGTCGAAAGCGAACTTTGACTATCTTTAGATTCTAAATTTAAATGAGCATTTGCTTTGGGACTAGAATTAGTGTCTAAATTTTTCGATAGGACTGTAGTTATATAATTGTCACTCCCGATTAATTTCTTTCCGTTTTCGAGAAAGGCAGCTTTGATTTTACACGTGGACAAATTCGCATCATCGGACGCTGACGACGCCGCTGATGACGTCTTATAATCTTCATCAGTATCGATTAATTCGAAATTAAACGTATCTTCCGGCTTTTGCATCTTCTTCGGCTTGTTTTGCCGGAGAACAGCAGGAGGCGGGGCTACAAGTGCATGTGACCGCTCTAGCGGCCGGTGATTGATCCTCGGCGGCAAAGGCGGAGCCGACTGTGCCTCTGAATCAAAACTACACCCCTCCTCCTCATCTTTGGCACTCGATTTACTATAAGCCGTCCAAATCTGATAATACTCTTTATTCGGACTCTTCTGATTCAATTTGGACCGAATCTTCTTTTTCGTACCTCCCATATTCGTACTCTCAGACCGCACTAACCCGTTCACCGCCTTCTTCTTCACTCCCGTATTCAGATCTTCAAGAGAATTCGAACTTTTCAAAGTCGGAATCTCAGATTCGTCCTGAAACGCGTCGTTTTCAATACCATTGCACTTGTGTTTTTGTTTCACTTTTATCAATTTTTTTAACTTGTCGGTCGGGTGTTTTATTATCAGAGAATCGGTCTGAGCCAAATAATCTAAAGTTGAGCCGTCGTAGTAACGGAAACACAGCAGTTTTTCACAGTCTGAAAGAAAAGACAGTCAGGGAAAAGGGAAGACAGTTTTGGGCGAAATACCATTGTGAGAGGGGATGTCGAGGAGCCACATGGTGCTCGACTCCTGACCGGGGACCTTCTGCCGAGCCAAGCACTCTTCCGCACTGCTGCTATCTAGAAAATTTAATTTCATAAAAAAAAATGTGTAATATAAAAGTTAAGGGTATGCAACCAACTATACATGCGAATTGTGTGTTGCCTACTCATGTGTGTTTTTTCTGTTTTGCCAAGCCAGACACCCTTCCCAAGTGCTATTATATACAAAACAACTATATATTTACACATAATATCAAATTTTGTGGTAATTAACGTCAATATTTAAAAAATATTTAATACAAAGTATGCAACTAATTATACAGGTCATGTATTGTGTGTTGCCTAACAACTAACGTTTTGTAGTTTTTTTGTTAATTTTGTTAAATGGATCCGGTCTTACGTCTCAAATATTTAAAATTCCGTCGACAAATGTCTCTAGGTGTCAGAATTCAAAAATAACCGCAGCGGAATCCGCCCCTAGCGTCGTGAATCACCCCAAATGAGTCAAATCTGTGGTTTTAGGAAATGGCCAACATTCCATCGCTTAACCATTCTTCCGGTGTTGTTATTGTGCATCGTGTACCGGATATAGGACGTCCGATCCGGCTTTTACGATCGCAGGTAACAATACCGGTTCCGTTTCCTACCATCTGTTGGTAATCTCGTGCACCCCTAATTGCTTTCAAAAGTCAAAACTATTTATAGTTTTATGGCGTTTTAAGAAAAATCAAGTCGTGATTTTTCCAGATTCGAATCACGTCCGCGATCTTGATCTCGGAGAAATTCCCATGAGAAAATTTTCAAAGAAACGGCGAATGGATGAAGGGTTGTGTTAGTTACTGGACGAGGAATAATAACTTCATTAGATTTCCGGCCGGAAGTGCATTATGCGAGTCATTGTGTCAGTGCGTGTGGCCTCAAATGCGTCTTTGATCTCTATGAATATTTTAATCGAACTGATTAATCGCAAACCGATGCATCGACGCAAATAAAACCATGTTTACTGCCAAAGTTTCCTGTGTTTATTTGTGTAATTGCCGAGAAGTGTATCCGGTCGGCGGGGTGCGTTTCCGTTTTTAAAACGGCGCGGTTATTAATAGTCAAAAAACGCATTTTCACCATTTTTTCGCACACACACACACACACACACACACACACCACCAACGACACTGAATCTCTGCTCGATTATCACTATTTGTGATGTATTTTTTGATGAGATTAGGACGTTTTCAAGGCCGAGGCCGACTTTTCCGAGGGGAAAAATGGCGTTTCCGTGCCACTTTCCCCGAGGAAAGCCGCCATGTGGCTAATTAGGGGCGAACGATCGGCTGCCCACATGGCCATATGTACGTTCGAGATAGAAAACGGTATATATGGTAATGAGAACGTGCAGAGGTGTCGTACGCGACATTCAACCTGCTGTTCCCATCTCGGTGAAAGACCCGACGTGTACCCACATTATAACGTGTGGTGAAGGAGGAACAAGTCGCGAGAAAAATGCCTTTTTGTGTAATAAGAGAAAGGGCGAATTAATTACGTAGTCGGAAATCAAAAAGACAAACAAATTTATATGAAAAAGCATAAATAATTAATAGACTAACTGTTCAATCTCATTCTTAATAAATTGGTAAAAACTGATTTCCTCTTTTATGTATTTCATCATTTTTATTCCTTATTCGTCATGTCTATCTTATTCGTTATTTATATTTATAATTCGATTTCAACAAAGCGTATTTCTGATAAAAAATATCAATTTTTTTTTTCTAATATCGTATGTTTTAATAAGAACCCAATCATATTTCTAAAATATTCAAAAACCTACTATAAATGGTGTCTGGTGTATTTAGATTACAGATTTTTTTTGAACTTGAAAAAATAATACATACAGAAATACTTATCTGTAAGTTATACAAAAAATTGAGATTTGTGTACATACCAGGTGAATAAAAACCAAACGTTTTTTGCTTAAACAATGTTTTTTGGAAAAACTAATTGATGAATGATAAAGTAGTAGAAAAATGTGATGTTTAATCAAGAATTTTTTTTTCGAAATTTTCTCTTGTTTTTAAGTTCTACAAAAAAATTATTTAGTTTAAATAGCGACCCATTATAAAACCATTTTTCTCATGAAGGTTATAATCTAAGGATTACAACTAAGTATTTCATATATTTAATTTTTCCAAAATTTTTTTTTTACTTCAATTGCAGTTCTGAGAAAAAAAAAACGAAACAAAATTTATATTAGTTTAATTTATATTAATTATTTTCTGAAGGCAAATGATTAAAAAAACCTGCTTGGTTCCATACTTTATAAAACGATAACAAGTCGTAATAGAGTACAATTTTTTTATTTTTATTTCAATTTAATTTGCAATTAAAATCAATTTCAGACCACAGTGACCTGTGATGTTAAAACTATGTTGGCAATCTTGAATAATAAAAACACATAAGATACGGTACTTGTCAATTTTCACCTCTTCTGTTTCTATTTTATTTAGAGTTACCAACTTAATTTTAGCATTGGTGGTTATTTTGACCAAAAATTTCATTAAAATTTGACTCCAAAATTAAAAAAAGTCTAGAATATGATGACAAAGCTAAATTGTATTTGATAGTAATATAATGTCCAGATGAATCACCCTGTACATTTGTTAAATATTACATAAACAAACACTGCAATATTTAAAAAAAGATGAGTTTTCATGACTCGTCCCAATTTCTATTAAGTTGCACCCTACGTATGTATAAAATGATTCACATAAGATGTCATACTTTTTTTAGTTTTAGAAGTCGCGAGCTTCTTCAACTTCTAAATATAAATTCTAACGTGGATTACAAGTACAAGCAAATATTTCCTTCCAAAATCTGACAACTCAAGTTGACTGAATCACACCCTGTACATTTTTAAATCCCAATCAAGAACCTTATGTCTATACCAGGTGAATAAAAAGTATGGAAGCAAACGTTTTTTGCTTAAACTATTTATTTTTTGAAAAAACTAATTGATGAGTGATAAAGTACTATAAAAATGTGATGATTTATTTAACAAGAATAAAAATTTTCCAAATTTCCTTTTGTTTTTGAGTTCTACAAAAAAATTATTTTTTTAAATGGCAACCCACTAAAAATCATTTTTCTCATAAAAGCTATACTCTAAGGATTACAACTATCTGCTTTATATTTAATTTTTTCAAAAAAATTTTTGACAAAAAAAATCGCATAACTCAAAAACAAAACAAAATTTCGTTCTGAAAATACGATCACATTTTTTATATTACTTTAATTTATATTAATTACTATTTTCTGGAGGCAAATGATTAACAATAAAACCGCTTGGTTCCATACTTTAATTCACCCTGTATGTTTTAAACAAAAGAAGCACAACAACAAATTTTCTGTATTATGGCCAACGAAGTGTTCTATTCACAATAAAATTTAGTAAAAAGATATAACAAAAAAGCATCATGTTTCTGTGGTAGAATGAACTCAAAATAACACCAAATAATATACAGTATGTTCCGTAAAAAACGCCACAAGCTGTAATTTCATTGTTAAATGCCCGGTTTGAATCACACGTAAAATAAAAAAAGGAATAAAAAGTAAAACCAGGTCACAATACTGTTTGACAAAATAACTAAAAAAAATATTCTTTTTAAGCTGAAAAATGTATTTTTTTTTCGATAAATATTTTATTTTCCCTTTAGACAAATTTAGATAAATTTACGTTCGAACTACTCAACCGTCTATAGGGTCATTTTGACTGAATCATTCTGTACATTTTTTCAAATCCCAGTTAAAGAACTTTATGAATTTATTTTTAAATTTAAATCAGAGTCACTGCCAACTGCATTTGCCATTCAAAATAATAAATTAGTCGGCATCTATCCAAACTTGAAACAGACACTTTTTATTTAATTCTAATGTCGATAAAATTTAGTCAATTGCTAATCGAATTCCCAGATTTTCAAAAAAAAAATTGATTTTTTTCTCAAATTTCGCGGCGAAGGACGCAATTCTCTGAACAAATTGCGTTTCATCTGTGTCCACCAATGTGTAGAAGACTTAATAGGATGACGCGGACCGGAAGCGGCGACATGTGCAGCATCCGACCGCCGGATATGACACGCATTCGATGGGACATGCGGTTAATAATTAATCATTTTATTAATAAGTCTCTATCGAGGCCGAAATTTCGCTGTCGGAATGCAGGTGTTAATTGGTATTCTCTTCGAACAAATTCCTCTTTCGAAAAATTTCATCGGCGTGCAAAATCGATTATATCCACGGACCCATCTGGGTAATTATCCGCCCACCATCCGAATCCATTTTTTGCTCTTCTTATCTCTCCAAGTCTCGAGAGGTGAGTTTCGGCGTGTGCGGCATTCCTCCTCGGACAGGATGTGTGTGGGCGTCCCATACTCCCTGACCACGTGACTTTTTTCACCGGGGCGCGAATATTCGGCGGAAACAATAAGTCTTTGTCGGATTTTTTCGCCACGAGACGGCGAAAAAATATCATAATAAACGCAGTGCGCTTTCAAAATTAAACAGAATTACAATTACGTAAACATCCGCTCGATATTATGTGGAAATTTTCGTTTATTATATCAACTAAAAATAGTGATTCGTGTGGGAATCATTATTACTACAATAAAAACCAACACCTGAATGGCGGTCGGTAGGTGAGCGATGAAGAAACGACTACTTTTTCCGTTATTTATTGACGATTGTGTTTGAATTTTTGGACAGTGAGAGGGATATTAGTGTGACGTAATACGAGGATTAATAAACGGAAGTCGGGATAGAATACGGCAAACGCTTAAATTGTTTTAATTAGCTAAAGCGATTTTAATGATTCCGATCGTTATGGTACCGTAAGCTTTTCGCCGAAAAAACACACTGGGAAACGACAAATGCTCGAAACGTGTGATAGGAGATTCGCTGCGTCACGGATTCGACAAATTCCGACAAATTATGGTGCAGGAAGGATCACTCATATCCCTGCAAGCATCTCGCTATTTCGGGAATTTGATAGCTATTTCCCTTCAACGCCTGAAATTATTCGCCAAAAAATTGGACTTTCACACCAGCAATGAACCCAAAAATTAATGATATTTACACAAAATTCATTTGGTACAATTTGTTCTATCAAAACCATTAAAACCTGTATCAAACACCACACGACTTCATATATCAATTCAAGATTATTTTGATAATAAATGTTTCAGAAATATTACATCGTCGACAACTTAAATAAAATACATATTTTTTTGATATTCAAAAAAACATGACCATATTAAATACCACTCACTTGATAATCACTATGACAACTAAAAGTTTTACTATCTACTATCTAATTCACTAAAAGGTAACAAAACTTCTCGACAACTAATAAAAGATATTTTTTATTATCTCTGTAAACCAGAATGAACCTTTGTTTAGCTCTTTGTGTCAGATATGAATTCTTTTTTATCCAAAGCTTTCGTTACTCTAAATGAAAACTGAAATTATTTATTATCTGAATTGTTAACACACTGATAACAACAAGAACAATTTTTGATCAAATTTGCCAATCAAAAATCATTTTTATTTTAATTTCAAATTAATCAAGAATTATTTTTATTATATTTTTTTGTTTTATCATTATTTTTTAAACATTTACACTGTCATGAATTTTACAAAAAAGTATGAATTTTAAAATTCCTCATTTATCGCAATATCAATGTGGAAAAAGGTGTTAATAAAATTATCTTCTTTTTATACATATTAACATATTATTTTTTGTAATCAAGAATATAAGATTTGAAATATTCTAAAAAATTTTGATAAAACTCTATTTTACTCACTCTATTCTGATTTGATAACATCCATTGAGACATTTTAACATTATGTATATCAAATGTTAAACTTTTTTATCAAAACTACAAAAAGTAACATTAATAGGTATACAGATTGTCCAGAAAAAAGTTGCAAGATTTTGAGGGGTTGTTCCCTAGTTCAAAATAAAAAAAAAGTTTCTATGGACCTTTGTCCGGAAATGCTTCCTGAGGGAGCTGTGAAAATGGTAGACAAAAGGCCTTTTTTCAATTTGTCAGTAACCAGCAAACATAAATTTACAAAAGTTTGCACCTGGAGTAATTTTTTGATCTTGAATCTATTAGTGATATTAAAAATTGTGGACCTTAGTTGGGGTGGCATAGGGATTAGTAGAGTCAATCTATTTAAGATGAAAAATTTTGCTTTGGAAGAATTTTTTTCTTATTTTGTTCTGGGAACCACAACCCTAAATTATACAAAAGTTTTAATTTCTAATTTTAAAGGTCAGGCTATGTACTAATTTTGAAAATAAGAATTAAAAATGTGTACTCTAAAGAAACCTCAGTAATGGTAAGTTTCAATGTTTTCTAAAAATTTGATTTCTTTTTAGTCAAAATTTTCATTATCAAAAGT